GTACAAGATACAACAACCAACACCTTAGGTGCCAGTTGGACCTGAAGAATATTGAAATACCTCTATATATAACTAATTGGACAAAATGCCCCTATATTTAACAAAAGTAGACATTATAAATATTTTACCCAAAATGGCCTTCAAAGTATATGGCATCAAAAGTCAATGTTTTCATGATAACCATGGACCCTACAAAATATAATGACCAAAATACCCCTTTAGTTATGTTAAATGCCAACAATGCATTGCTAAAATGTCTACTTACTACTGACAATGTTTTCATCATACTCATTGATAATGCAGTAAATGCCAGCAATGAACTCTTAAAATGTCTATTTACTATCTCTCCAAAATGTTGAAATCATTCTTGAACCATTTTATTTCTTTCATTATTTCCAATTTCCATCAAGAATGTTTCCACTTGTTCCTATATGGTCATACATCTAGTGTGTACTAATAATTAATGCATTTTCATCACTTTACATAGATGGATAAAATGAGGTATGTGCACACGAAGTAGGGAATAACTTGTTTTGTCATAGCTAGACCTGTTCATGGGCTGGATAGCCCGAAGGTCTGATCCGGCCCGGCTCATTATTTTTTGGGCTTGGGCTTCGGGCTTTATATAAGGGTTGAGCTCGGGTTCAAGATTTAGGCTTGATGGTTGGGCCAAGCTCGGACTTGGGCCTACACATTTTCTATTGATAAAGAGGCAAAGCCCGGCCCGGCCCATAAACAAATCTAGTCATAACCTTCTATCGAGGACATGACATATTGATATCCCATAAGCTCTAAAATGCGACATGGTTGCTTGTCAATATGCATGTAATGATAATAATCAATTAAACTTGCAATAAGAAGTACAAGCATTTCTTCGTCTTGCTTTAGATCCACGGATAATGAATTATCCTATACATACATTATATTAATATGTTTTTCTTACATTATCATAGATTATTTATCAACATAACAACTAAAAATTGCATACACAAATACAACATCATAAACATTAATAAGTAAAACCATAAAATAGATGAACATTAAAAAATAAAAATAAAGTCTACAAGGATAAGTTTCTAGTGAATAATCAAAAGATTAACCAACACAAATTCTCATAAAACAATCATGACTATACTCAAACAAATAGAACCCACCTATGACCAAAAAACATCAGTAGCCTCTATATGCCAAAGTTTGTTGGCATTCTAGCCAAACCATAGACATTCTTGAGGCATTCAAGGAAATTAATGCTTTCCGTGCTTTATCTTCTACTATTAATTGATCATTAGCAAACATATATAGCTCACATCCGAGCTCCAACTCTAGCATGTTATCTAATCTATCAATGCATGCAAAAACAAAGAATGGATCCAAGAGATGAACACACTCCCTTCGAATAGACTCCAACCTATCTAACTGCTTGCTTAATCATACTGATCCAGACATTACATTATGATGACAATGATCTTGTTGGGGGCTTTTTTCTCTTTAAGTACTATAAAACACTTGCTCTATAGCAATCTCATTACTTTTGACCATCAAGTTCTTGTTCAGTTGTGAGATTCGGAAAACCCATGGATGGTTCAAAGAGATGGAATCGCCACCCATTCTTTAGAGGAAATAGGCCCTCATTTTCAGACTTGAAAGTTCAACTTTAGCTCTTTGATAGTGATTCTGTCCTTTACGGGAAATGCACTAAACCGAAAGGTTTTAGGCCCAAATATTAGGAGAGGTAAGGTGTTAGGCACCCCTCTCTCCAATCTGTTATAGCAGCCCATTACGGGAGTAATTCGGGCTCAAATTCTAGCGAAGCATGAATTAATAGGATTGGTCAAAGCTCCTAAAATCTGGCGAAAACGTTCCCAATTTCGCTTAGAATTGATTTGAGATGACGTTATCGGGTCTTAGGTACTGGTTTCCCTAAGACCCTTGCCTCTCTACCTCTTTTTCTCAATCTGGAGGAAGCTAGGAATGCAAGTTTCCTAGGGTTTTAGGACTTTAAGCAATATGAAACTAAACTAAAAGTAGGGAGACAGTGGAATGAGAGGCTTACCTCTCGTGTACGACCTTGAAACAAACTATCTTACAGCTAAAAGGACTTCAAACAAAACTTGAGCGAGGCATGGAGTTGAGCTAAGCGTTTATGGTGTTAAGTTTGGAAAGCAGGGGATGAGGCTTGAGCATGGCTTCAGGGATTTTGGGATTTCAAGTAAGATGAGTGTATTATAGAAGTTGGGAAAATTGCTCATTTCCTTTCCTTAAGCTCGAGTTGGGCCTCTATTTAGGAAAATGGATGGAGATGGGTCTGAAATTCATCCAGCTATAGTGTTTGTGATTCAGCAGAGCTCTTTCATTGAAATAGGCAAAGATTTTAAGAGGGCTGGGCCTGTAGTTGACCCTTACTTCTTTGTGTAACAAATTTTCTTGAGTTTGGAAGACTTCTTATGGATTTTGTACATCCAATGAGGGATTGGGGCGTGTCAGAAGTTGCAACCCCGTATTTGGGCCTAACAGTAGCAAAAGACGTAAATTTGATGAACTTTTAAATGGTTTTGTCCTTTCTTAGTTTCAAGTGGGGGTCTGTTTGGTATTTTGAGTTTTTTAAGCCTATTAGGATCAAATTCATTGGTCCAGGTATTTCAATGTGGTCAAGTAAGGACCTGACGTTAGTCCCCACCCTCTTAAGATCTTAGGTTGGATAGCCGATGTGGCGATTCAATCTGATGCATCGAAATAACATCTTCCTTGTTTAACGGTAAAACGGGTGAATTAGGATGTGAAATTTGATGTGCACCAGTTTTTTGGGTCTTTGAACATGGTGGCGGGGTTTGATTGGTCAAATAAGGCTTGGATGAAGGATATTCGTGACAGGTGAGCTTTTGATCAATAAGATTCATCAAAACGGGATCAAGGCTTGATGTTGGGTCAAACAAGGAGATGGGTATCACTTACTCCATTCTAGAAAGGAGTTCATTGCCCTTTTCTAGGACAATTTGAGAAGGGGTTAAGGTATTTTTGAAAGTTTTCTAATTCCTATTTTTCCATTTTTGCCACAAAATGAAAGCAAACTTTCCTTGTTGAATTATGCCCCATTTTCATCTTTGTTATAGATTATTTTCCACCAATCTTTCAAGGAGGGGGTTCACATTGGTTGGTCCCTCAATAATAGGCTTGATTGTCATCCAATTTTGCTTAGAAAATGAGCAGTTTTTGAAAATATGCTCAAGACCCTCCTCCTCTCCACATAGGCTGCAACACATGTCAATATTTTCTCCCCTACTTCTAAGAAAACCTTTTGTTGGGAGCCTGTTGTTAAGAAGAAGAAACAAGAAGGCCCTCAATTTTGGAGGGCAATTCAGCTTCCACACTTTGGAATTCCAGTTGAATTTGTTTCCCAAACTCATCATCATACTACATTTTAAAAGGTAAGCTGATTTATTTGTGGAAATCCCTTTTGAGTATTAAATCTCCAAATCATTTTATCTTCTTTCAGTTCCATGGGATGAAAATGGACTTAATCCTCAACCAGATATCATTTGTTACGAGACTAGCTACATATTTGTCTTCTTTCCAAACGCTCCTCTCTTGATCGATGATTTCACTAACAAGAAGATTATTGTTTGTCTCCATATCTAGATTCAGCAATTGGTGAGTCACTCATCCATCTATCATTCCAGGAATTCACTGACATAACATTACCTAGCTATCGTCCATCCAATTCATTTTCTTAGTAGATCTCTAGACATTAAAATTCCCCTCCAAGCCCACGATATACCGTTTTTGGCTTTCACATTGAGAAAACATTCATTTTTAAAATATTTGCTCTTAATCACTTTTACCTATAGGTTGTCACCATCATTCAATATTCTCCATCCCAATTTTGCTAGATTTGTTTCATTGACCCACCTACAATTTATAAAGTAGGTGGACTGGCTTCTTATCACCTGAGTTGATCGAGAGGAAATATCTTTGGGAGGTGTTAATTTCATCAATAATGTTATTGGGAAGTTTAAAGCATTTCATGAGGAACTGAGGCCATAGACAGGGATTCTTCTTCCATCCCAATCTTGTTACTAATTTTAACAAATAGTGATCAAAATATTTTTGTTCTTCATTTGATACTACTGCTACCAGTGGATTATAATGCATTTAGGAATATGAGAAAATAGTAAAATTTTGGGTATTAAAATAAAACTACCCGATAATAACCTGTATTTTACCTAAATAAAAACTTTCACTTGACCCACGTCACTGCATTTAGACTTAGGATCTCCCATCCACAAGAACTCTGCCCAAATCTACTTACAACATATTATCTCCTTATATTAGGAATATTTCTCCATGCATAATACTATGTAAGAGGATGAGATCTTTTACATGTACGACTACAATGTTATGTGGATAGACATGAGCAGAAGATTCAGACTCGTGCATTCAACCTCTCTAGTCTCTAGTCCTTTTCTTATGAGGAATCCAGATCTCCTGCACACAAGAACTCTGCCCACATCTACCCACAACACAGTACCCCAGGGAACATCTCCCCCTATATAAAACTATATAAGAAAATGAAATGTTCTCTATGTTATTTCAATATTATGTGGGTGGGCGTGGGCAAAATTTGTGTGAACAGGAGATTCCGACTTACGAGCCGGGATGATACGAGAAAAAAAAAGCACTCCCGCTGATGATACGACCGCGTCCGGCATTTAGCGAGCCTTCCATGTCCGCTCAACTGTTCTGCTGGCCCCATCTTGAACCAGATGAAGAGACGTCGTGGCTCGTGGTGAGGGTACCATAATAACACATCAAAGGCAAAATTGCCAAAATTCGCGGTTTTATCCCTGCGCTAAAACCATCTCGTGGATTTTTTTATAAAAAAAATGTCGTGATTTAACGTTGGATTATTTTATTGTAAAATCCAGCATCAAACTTTCATTATTTTGTTTTATTTAGTCTTCTACTCAAGGGAGAGAAAATCAATCACTGAACGAGTTAATCACTCGTCCAGCGTATGTGATCCGCCTCTGCGGTTTATATTGGCAGCTAGCAGCTAGGTTACGTGTGTTAATGGATTTCTCTCCCTACATACCAATCACGAACCACCACTGTTTTCAACTAACAAGATTGGTCCAAGTGCGGTGGCTCTGTTCGATTATAGTCGTCGTCGTCGTCGGGGGTAGGAAGTAAGTAAGAAATGCGATAAAGAGAAAAGCTTACATCGATCGGCAGCCAGTCATGGCTTTTTCATGTTTTCTCCATCGCAAATTTCATCGTCCTAGTATCTCAGACCTGTTTGGAGCGAGAAGCTTTGCGTTGATACCGACGTGTTTAGCTCTCCTTACTTCTGTTTTCATTCTTGTTTACATCTCTTCGACCTCGAAGCTCATCAGGCACCAGCACGACCATTCACATTTACTTCTGCTCAGGTCGTCGGTCAAGTCTTCAAGAATATCATACCAGATCGTCCAAACTTCCTTCCACAATCCTCCGAGAAATGCTTCTGATGGTGTGCCACCCGAATCAATAATTGAGGGTAATGAAGTTCAGTCTGTCTCCAACTATAGTCGTGAAGGAGCTGAGATTCATCAGCCTGTGGTGGTTCTACGATCTGATGGTTCAAACCGTATGTGGATTTTCAGATTTTTTGTGCTTATGGGTCTAGATTGTCCTTTGAATTTGATGGAATTTTCTGAGGAGAATTGGACACGATATCATGTCCGTTTGGCACGATAGATTTTCCATCTCTTAAGTCCATTGTGGAATTTCTTTTAATCTTTCTTTTGATGAAAATATTTTGGGTGTGGGCTGACAGGAACCCTAGTTTATGGAGATAACCCAGTTTGGAGCCATGCTGGTGAACTAGTTGATGAGAATCGCCAGCCCGCTGAAACCCACCAATCAAATGATTCAAACGGTATGTGGGATTGGAATTTCAAGTCTTTATTATTATTTTTTTTTAATATAGGAATTTCATGTGGAAGTTGAAATTCATATTTATTCTTCTGTTTGTGTGCACTATAAGGCTTTAATAACATGTCATATTGCATGCCCAGACGAGCCACCAGTCTGGAACTCTAGTCATGGAGTTGGGATTGGTCAGCCTCTGCAGAGTCGTCCATCTGCTGATTCCGAAGGTATATGTGGGGTACAATTTTGCTTGTCTCTCTATATTCTTTGGATTCTTTTGATGTTTGGATTTATAGATTTTGCTGCTTATTTTAATAGTGAAATAATGTGGACATTATTGTTTCAAAAAAATTAAAAAAAAAGAAAGGGCATTAGACAGACAGCAAGAGAATCGTAGGTTTTAACTTAGGATTCCTGAAACACCAGGTTGTTGTGGAATTTAGGCTGGATTTGACATTTTTTATTTTAAGGACTTATCTCCTTTTTGTAGTTAAAAACTTGAGATAAGTCCTTAAAATAAAAAATTCCAAATGCAGCCTTAGTCATGGGTAGAGGTGTATAGCCCGGCCTGAAACGACCGTGCAGGTCATGTTGCGCCTGGGGTTTTAGGTCCACGGGGCGGGCCAATATGGCACGATCAAGTGGGCCGTGCCACTCAGTACATCCCGCGGCACGGTCCTTACATATATTTATATATTATTATATAAATTATAATTATATAATAATATATTAATAAGATATATTTTTTTTTAATTTTATTATACTAACTTATTTAATTATTATATATAAGCAATTTTATACATTAAAATTCATATAAAATTAAAATTTTAAGTTTTTTGTCAATTTTTTAAATAAATAGTTTTGGCCCGATGCACAAACCCGCACGGGCCTGGGCCGTGGGCCATGCTGGGCCGACCCCCCAAGTTATCCCTGGGGAACAGCGGCGCAGCCCGAGACGGCTCGCAAACCGGCATGGAACGGCCCGCACTTTGCGCGTGGGCGGCCCAGCACGACCCATTTTACACCTCTAGTCATGGGGTGTTGTACAATATGAATGTTTTGTTTTTGTTTTGGATAAATGACTTAAACATACCCTAAGTTTTCATAAACTTGCTTAAACATACCTTAAATTTAAAAAAAAAAAACTTACATACCTTATGACTCTCTTATCCTTCATTTTCATTTAAAATTTCAAAATATACCCTGGATTTTGTTCAAACTCTTTTATCTTTCTAAATCTTACAACATGGTCAGTATAGAAGTTTTGTTTTGGATCCAATCAATGATAGAAACGATGCAAAATAGGGAAATATGATAACACACGTGTAATATGCATTTCCACAAAAAATGCTATGCCAATTACTAAATTGTAATAATTCCATTTCACGTGGAACCCAAAAAAGGCTCCAAGTGAATCGTTGAAAGCTCTCTCTCTCCTTTGTCCTTTTGTCTTGTTAGGTAAACCAGTCCATTGGCCATATTTTTTTCTCTTTTCTCCTCCCACCTTCTTCTCCTTCTCAGATGGAGTGTTTAAGCCCTGTGAGGTTAGTCTACAAGGTATATTTAAGTCTTTTTGGAAAACTTAGAGTATGTTTAAATCAATTAATAAAAACTCAAGGTATGTTTTACATGTTTCTGGATATGTATTTTTTCAACTTGATTCAAAAAAAAAAAAATCTTTCTGACATCAATAAAAAATTTGTATCACCCCATACCTAAGGCTATGTTTGGCTGAAAGAAATAAGAAAGAAACAAAAAGTTCAAGGAATGTCCATAAATTCTGAAAATGGGTTTACCCTTAGGTGTAATGGGTTTATCTTGAATGAAACTTTCTTGTTAGGTTGGGCTTCAATTCTAAAAATAGGTGTATCCATAGTCTATTCAATCCATGTTTAATGTATTTAGAAAGGTAAATACACATAATTACGTTTTTCATCTTGTGGATTTAAAACTTGTAATAGTGATTTTCACACATGGTTCCAACATTTTTCATATGCTCACCAATAGGGCTGTTCACGGGTCGGGTTGGGTCGGTTTACTGAGGTTTTTCCAACCGACCTGACTTGGTCGGGTTACCTGAGATGGAAATCGAAACCAACCCAGTGTTAAGCAAAACCGACCTAGTCAGTTTGAGTCGGGTTGGGTCAGTTTCGGCTCTAAGTTCATTCATGCCCCCCATGGCCACTTAGTTTTCTGGAAATATATTTAAAACTGAAATATGTATTTTAGAAATATATATGTGTATATATATATATATAAACAAAAATATACATACAAATATATTGGAATATATATTTTCTGGAAATATATATCTGACATATTTCATAATATATACTTTTTAGATATAGATATTGGAATATATATTTTCAGATATTTCAGTTTTTAGTTAAATAGGAACTAAGTCGGTTCGGTTTCGATTTTCTGAAAACCGAAACCGACCCAAACCATCGGTTTATGAATTTGTACAACCCAAAACCGACTGGTGCTAATGAAAACCTGGCCGACTCAGGTTGGGTCGGTCCAAATTAGTCAATTTGGTCGGATTGGGCCTTCTTATGAACAGCACTACTCACCAAGTAAATAAATTGATTAAATATATCTACGTTAAAGGGTAAACTACTTATACCTACGTTAAAGCTTTGATTAAATATTAAGACCTCTCCGCTTTACAATCCCCTTTGACCACAAAACTATAAGGTGTTTATTAATGGAAAAAATAGAATAAGACAGGAATAGTTATTTTACTAAAATGCCCTTAATATCAGTTTGTCTCCAATGTACATATATTTTTTTCATTGATAAGTATTAAATATAGTTTTATTACCTAACATTTTTATTTTATTTTATTTTGTCTTCTCTGAAGTAGCTCAATCAACGCAGAAGACCTCCCAAAATTTTCCATATTAATTCAAAGATGTAAATAACACCTCATGACGTCAATTAAATTTGTTGACTTTGGATTATCAGAAAAAAAAAGCTGACTTTGAAAAGCTGAGGTTAATCGGCTGCCAACGATTCCTTGAGGTCAGCGGTTTTGGGTATACTTTTCACAGCTCCGACTAAGGGATTAACTGGGATTGGTGAAGGTAGAGTACATGCGCTGACCAGTGGCTACATATCACATCTGCTGCTTCTACGGTCAGCATTACCTTGCGATTAGGGCTGTTAACAGAGTGAAAGTCGAATTCCTAATTTGAAATTCAATCGGATTATTTTGGATTTAGATGATCCATTTACAAAATTTGATTGGATTCGAGTTCTAAAATTTATATCCATCAAATAATCAGATCGAATGGGGATTTGATTCCATAAAGGCCAAGAAATCCAAGATTTGTATAAATTTGTATTCCTCGTAACTAGGGGCAGAACTTGTGAAAAATTGTTAATATTTCAATGGGCCGGCCGGTGATTATAAATAAGGGAAATTTCCGACTAGTGTTACTTTGGCCTTCGAATTATAAAATGTGATAATTCAGTATCCGAATTTTTACTAGCCATTAGTGGTATTTGAAAAGATACAAATGTCCTTCGAATGTCTTCAAATTTTATCAACCATCTAAACTTTGACAAAAATTAACAACCTCAAATTCTTGCCTATTTTGTTCAAGAAAACTGGAGTCACGTCTTTGTGAGCATTCTGGTGATCCCAACTTTCTTGAACAAAAAAAGGCAAGGATTTCAAGTTGTTCATTTTTTGTCAACGTTTGGATGATTGATAAAGAAAATTAGAAGACACTCGAAGGACATACGTATCTTATCAAATGCCAACAACTAGTTAACAAGTTGGTTAACGATAGGTATTGGATTGATATATTTTGAAAGTTCGAATACTGAATTGTTACGTTTTAAAAATTCGGAGACCAAAGTGGAATTAAGCTCAAAGGTAATGGGCTTGACTTACCTTGAACAACCCATTAAAGCTTTTAAAAGGGCCCAGGGTTAGGTTGAGCCATATTATAGAAGCCTAGGATAGATGGGATATACAAGAGTAGGGCCAACTGCCCAAGCTGCATCTTGCCATGGACTACATCGACAAATTTAGATAACTTCCAATGGGAAATTGAAAAGGAATCAATAAAGAAACTTGTAATCAGGCCTTCAAGTTGGGCTAGGGTAAGGCTTTGGGCTCATTGAAAATTTAATAAACTCCCAACCCATATTGACCCAACTAGTTGAAAATTTAATAATCCTAACACAATAAACATGACATTATTGTTGGTTGTAATGACTCAGGAAACCATCTAAAGGAGGTGTTCCATGACAAAGAAAATTTTTTCGAAGATTATAAAGAGATGAATAGAAGCTTCAAGATATATGTTTATCCTCACAGCAAGGATGATCCCTTTGCAAATACACTGTTGCCAGTGAATTCTGAACCAGGAGGGAATTATGCCAGTGAAGCTTACTTCAAGAAGGCTCTTACAAAGAGCCACTTCATCACTAAGGACCCTTCAGAGGCAGATCTCTTCTACATGCCTTTCTCCATTGCAGCATTGCGACATGACCGGCGAGTGGGCGTCGGCGGAATTCCGGTCTTTGTTCAAGCATACATCCATAACATCAGCCATACTTATCCCTACTGGAACCGGAGTGGAGGGGCTGACCATTTCTATGTTGCTTGCCATTCCATTGGAAACACAGCAACCAAGAAAGCAGATGAAGTGAGGTTGAATGCTATTCAACTTGTATGCTCTTCAAGCTACTTCGTGACTGCATATGTTGCTCATAAGGATGCATCGATGCCACAAATCTGGCCAAGACATGATGATCCTCCAACCTTTTCTTTGTCAAAGAGGTAAGTTTCTTTCAATCATCACTATATTTTTTGCATTATAGATTTGATTTTTTTTTTCACATCAATTGAAGATGAGGTAGAGAATTTTTGTTTAAATGAATTATATTTTAGCATGGTCAAATGGTTCCACCCTCCGGTCTACTTTTTGACTCAAATAAAAATGCAAAAAACAAGAGAAATTAAGAAATAAGCAACAATTCTTTAACAAGTTTTAAAGCTGTTTTATATCAGAATAAGCTTAAAACAATAAATGTTAGATTATGAGAGGCATTTAGGCCATGTTTGGGAGTGCTTAAGTTAAAAATAAGTGCTTATTCGAATAAGCACTTGTTTGCATTTGGCACCCAACTTTTTCAAAATAAGCACTTATTTTATGTTGGGTGTTTGGTAGTTTCTTCTCTAATAAGCACTTAAATAAGCATTTGTGACTATTTTGTCCCTCATTTTCTTTCAGATTTTCAAAATATACACTTTGAAAGCACTTTTATTAAAGTACTTTTATAAAAACACTTTTATGAAAGCACTTTTACGGAAGCACTTTTATGAAAGTACTTTGAAAAAATAACTTTAATGAAAGCACTTTATAAAAGTACTTTTACAAAAATGCTTTCATAAAGTGCTTTTGTAAAAGTACTTTCATAAAAGTGCTTTATTAAAGTACTTTCATAAATGTGCTTTCATAAAAATACTTTCGTAAAAGTATTTTATAAAAGTACTTTTGTAAAAGTGCTTTCATAAAGTGCTTTTATAAAAGTACTTTTATAAAATTCAACTAAGGATAATTTCATAAGTGATATTTTAAACTTCAACTAGGGATAATTTTGGAAGAAAAAAGTTGAATAAGTGCTTATTGTATAGGCACTTAAAAAAAAGCTGAAAATTTGAGCTTAAAAAATAAACCCTTATTTTTAAAATAAACACTTATTTCAGACTTATTTCTCAAATACCAATAAGTGTTTAATGGCCCAAATAAACAGTTATTTTAAATAAACACTTATTTTTAAGCACTCCCAAACATGACCTTAGACAACCATTAAATAAACTGCTATTGAAATAAACCCAAATTTCTGTAGAGAAGTAGGTACTTAACCCAGGATTATATTTCCAATTATAGGGCTAGCATGTGTTGTTTCATCATGAATTGGTTTTGACTAAGGCAAAGTTTGGTTTGAAGGAAAATGTAGGGAAAAGGAGGAAAAGGTAGGAAAACCTTTACAAACCATGCATTGGTTTCTCTCTCTTTCCCTTCTCTTCTCTATCTTTTCCTTCAAACCAAACATAGCCTAAAAGTCTATGATCAGAAGGGGGCATTCTTATATTTTGGCCTGTGTTTGGTACATACAGTATAATTCAATCCATACCATGGGCTCTAAGAAAACCTAATTAAGATACTTAACCAAGGTAGCGTTTGATAAAACTTAACTCTAATATCTGAAAAGTAAAACACAGATCAAAGAATGTATGAACATCCCATCTTTTGCTTCAAATTAAATCTCACTTCTTCCAATTTCTGAGAATTAATCATGTTTTCCCAAAGAAATTACAACATTAACAGAACAAAAGAAATCTCAATAAGAATCAAATGCTTTACTTTTATTACATTGGTCAATTAATAAATTAACTTGTTGGAACTCAGACAATTACACCCAACCTCATTCTGTTCCGTTTGTTTGAGAAATGAATCTCATTCAGGAAAAGGCTAGCCTTTTTTGCTGGAGCAGTAAACTCACGTATACGTCAGGATGTTCTCAACGCATGGAAGAATGACTCTGAGATATTTGTGAACTCTGGTCGCCTCAAGACACCATACTCTGATGCACTTCTTGGGAGCAAGTTCTGCCTCCATCTCAAGGGTTTTGAAGTTAACACAGCCCGTATCGGGGATGCTATGTTTTATGGCTGTGTTCCAGTGATAATTGCTGACTACTACGATCTACCCTTTGTAGACATATTAAATTGGAAGAGCTTCTCCCTCATTGTTCCCTCTTTGGACATCACTTTGCTCAAAAGAATCCTTAATGGAGTCAGCTCTGTTCACTACTCCACATTACAAAGAAATGTGCTCAAGGTAAGGAAACATTTCAAATGGCATCCTCTTCCAGTTGATTATGATGCTTTTTACATGGTCATCTATGAACTGTGGCTACGACGAACTTCTCTGAAGATCCCATTGCATGTATAGAAACAAAGATCCCAATTCCATGTAGATACAGATAGATAACTCTATTTGTAAATTTGGTTCAATTCAATGTCCAACAAAGATCCCAAAATATTTCTTCTTTCTAGTATATATGCACTGGACCTCCACACTCTGGCCCCAATGGTATAACTTGATCCCAATCTAACTACATCATCAGAGAAGCCGAATATATAAACAAGGTAAATGTGCCTAAGGATGGAGAGTGATAACCCGAGAAGATATTGGCCTTGATTATTCAATTATGAGAAATAAATATTTGTATAAAAATCAAGGTTTAAATGTCAATATAGTAATTAAAAGTGTATCAGTAAGGTTGGAAATGGATATGTATCATAATATGCTTTGGAATTATATGAATATGATGGAAAGATTTAGATATGCATTGAAACATTAAGAAAACTTCCATTAATCCCAGAGATTGATACATAAACTATAGATTTAAGATTTAAATGACTAGGAATAAGGTACAAACACATAATAAGCACATAAATTAATCGTTTATACAATGAAATACATTACAATCCATATACTGAGACACGTACTATCCAGCTTGATGTGGGTATAATCGGCCACTTTACTAGATGATGACATGTGGCACTACCCAAGGGCAATCCCGTCACCTCGACCTCGGGTAGGGGCATAGTCATAACTTCCCTGAGTCGTTACTGTGAAGCATTCATTACAGACGTTACGATCTCGGCTGAACTCACTCCTAACACACTTATAAGGGGGTAATGCTCGGCCATCATCCCTGTAACAAGCGCATTCATGACCAAGATTCATGGGATGATTACTGATTGCCCATTACTGCTCTCTTGGGTGATTCAACTATAAAAGGGCACCAAAGCCTAAGGTATACACTCATGCATACTTAAGTTGTCTACTCTATTTTCTTGTTGTAACCTTAGCTTTCCTTCAGCACTCGGCTAACTTGATCGTCAGAGTCCTTGCCCCTGAGAACACTCCCAGGGCCTCTAATGTCTTTTCACTCCTTGGAAGTGGGACCCTCAGCCATCTAACCTCGGAAGTTACAAAGCTGCCATTGGCTCTAGATTTGGCAGCAACAATTGACGTCATCTATAGGAACGATTTGCTAAACAAATCTTCCCTTTAACACTTTTCTATTCATACTTCCGACAATGGCTGACCATTAAGAAAACGTCTTGGCTGCTCAAAATTTGGTCACTCTTGAGCAATTCAATGTAGCGTTCCAATGATTGGGACTACTTGGCCAATCAGCTAGATAACTTCCAATTCCCGACAAGAGGCCTTCCACAAAAAGGCCGACCCATCGACGCCTAGGAGCAAAATGGCAGGAGATCTGCCCCATGTTCCACCCAGCCGGTGGTTAGGCAGATGCGTCAAAGAAAAGTCGTTGGAGTCATAGGGTAGCAACCAATGAGCAAGTAGACACCACTCCAACATCTCTAGGCACCCCCAAAGTCGAGGTGCCAGCCGCCCGACCTCCCATCCTCGCGGTGTTGTAGACAACTGCCGGGAGCGCCCTACAGACCGTGTCGCCTCCAACAACAACAGGGACAATGGTGGGCGAATGGGCCATAACATCCCTCTTCAGAAATCAAGGGCTGAGGTCCCACTACCTCAAGTTGATTGTCATCTCGGGGATCTCCATGCACAAATTGGTGCCATCCAGGCTGAAATAAAAAAGGTGAAGGAGGGAAAAGGCGATGCCTCCACCAATCAACCCACCTCAGCCCAGCAGAATGGAAGCTTTCACCGACTCCACCACCTTAGAGCCACTTCCACTAAACTTCAAGAAGTTGATCCTCGAGACATACAATGGCAGCATAGATCCAGAGGACCACTTGGAAAGCTTTCGGGATTTCATGCTCTTCCATGGATATTCCAACACCCTGATGTGTAGGACATTCCATGCCACTTTTAAGAGGGCCACCCAAAAATGGTTCTCAGGCCTCCCCCCATGGTCCATCAATTCTTGGGACTAGTTCACAAACATCTTTTTGGCACACTTTGTGAGCAGCCAATAGTGCCAAAAGACAGTCATCTCCCTCATGTCTATCAAGTAGAATCCTAGGGAGAGTCTTTAACCTTATATGAAGTGTTTTAATTAGGATGAGGTTGGGATCAAAGACTTGACCCCTCAGTATGTATGGATGCCGCCATCAGTGGCCTCCGCCTAGGTCCTCTTAGCTAGTCTATCTCTAACACACTGCCTCGTAACAAGGCTGAGTTTCTTAAGAAGGTGCAAAAGTACATCGCTGCTGAGGAGGTCGAAGCCAACAAGCGTATACAAAACCCTAAGGCTGGCCCAAGCAAAAAGAAGAGAAAGGACAGAGATGAGCCAGTAGGCAACCCCAACAGAAAGAATAATGACAAGAAGCTACTTGCACCATCATTTGAGAAGTGCACTCCATTGAACACCTCCTGAATAGACATCCTAATGCAAGTCAGGAAGCAAGAGTATATGAAGTGGCCTACCAAGTTGAAAAGGAACCCTAAGAAGGTGATTTGAGAAAGTACAACAAGTACCATTGTGGCACCATCACGCCACCAAAGACTACTATGACCTGAAAAATACGATCGAGTCCCTCAGTCGATAGGGACACTTGAAGGATTATGTCAACGGTGAGATCCTAGGGGGTCGGCCTCTGCTTTGGCCAACCCTCAGCCTAGTCAAACCCTAGCAGGGGTCATTGATGTCATCTCAAACAGTTCAGCCTCAAGAGGTGAAAGCAACTCGACCCATAAAGCCTATGCCCGATAGCTGCAAATTGAGCATAAGTCACCAAAAAACAAAAGCCAGAGGAACTCATCTCTTTCTCCGATGATGCTCTGGGGGGATCTCTACACCCCACGATAATGCATTGGTGGTTTTAATGACATCAAGCTCTAAAATCTCCAAATTGTTTTACTTATTTTAGAACTTAATGTAATCAATTGCAAGATGCACAACATTGGGCTTAACTTGGACCGATGTCAGTATTACCAAAACCTTAGAAACCAATGGTTTAGATGGAAAAGTTGGCTAAGCTTTCCCCATACATTAACTGAGCTTCAATTGTGAAAGTTCTGATTGTGGAGGACTAAGGGCTTGACTTCAAAACCTTTGGATTCATCTACATAAATTTTCTAAGGTTCAACATGGTCGTTAATTGATTGTCCATAAGATAGTAGTTGACTATCTATAATAGTCAAGCCTAATGTCACATTGACCTTGATTAGTAATTGACTAATGAAGTAAGGGTATTCAACTGTCTATTAATCGAGAACATGTTGCTTTAAGAAGTTGACTACCAAGGGATAGTAACTTACTACAAGAGAGATGCGGGTAGTAATTGCTTACTTGAACCTAGCAATCAACTACTTACTACTAACAAGATCGAAACAATCAACTACTTGCTCATGTTAATCAACTATTACACAAAGAATAAGAAGATTTTTGACCATTTGAAGGCTCAATGGCTCTTTCCTCTTCTAGTAAGCCTTTAGCAATGCTGAGAACAAGCTCTACACATTTCTAAGACTGGCCTAATCCCTTCACAACAACAGTATAACAGTCACAAGCTCCCTAAACATGATTCATATTATTTATCAATGAGCTTGAGATGAAAATCCTAAGGAAGTGAAATGTACTAAAAAGTTTTAAGTGAAAAAGAGAGCAATAGCAAGAGAGTAACTCGGTTTGAAGAGATCCTGAACTGAAAGAGTTTACATCCTTGGAGAAAAGGGTTGAAAAAGCTATTTGTACTATATATAGATTCTCTCTGAGAATTATTTCTCTTCAAGTGTGTAGATCATATTTGTTTGTGATCATTCTTGCACTTGAATAGTTTATTCTATATTTGCATATCGGACTTTCTAGAGGCATCATATATAATATGCTTTACTTGCATGTCTGATTTTATTTGTTAGTTGTTGAATGTTTAGAAATTAAACATTGTAAAGGTTGAGATAACACCCATATATCTATCCTTTTAAAAGAAGTCCAACCATTGTAAAGGTCTTATTGAAACCTAAGAAGTGCAATTGGTTTAAAAGTATTGTTGGCATCTAAAAAGTCTAATTGGTTTAACAGTCTTTTTGAGAAGACTGTTAAAAGATGCATTGAGCTCGTTAGGAAAGTCTTTTTGAGAAGATCTTCTTGTAGCTCTAATAGTCAAAAGACGCATTGAGCTTTTGACATAAGATCTGGGCAGCCCGAAGACCATTTGGCAGACGTGTATCTTTCCGTCTATCATCCCGCGTCTTTCTGTGTGAGATTAAAACGTGAAAGACACGAGAAGCTTCATTTGGAGCTTCCTGAAATCAGTCCAAAATGGGCTTCTCGCGTCTTTTCGGCGTCCCGTCTTTTGGCGGCTAGATTTTCAACGTACCAAATGGAAATAGACCGATTTTCGGTCTTCCAACTTGTAAACAGCCGAAAGATCACGCAGAAAGATGTGCCAAATGGGCCCTTATTTTTTGTTAAAGTATATAATAACGGAGATTACATTACAAGAGCTTAATCAAGTTTTTCATGACTCAAAAAAGGAAGCACTATATTATATCTGCAATTTTGATTAATAAATTATATCTACAATCCTCAATATGCCTCCTAAACAAACCAGAAGACAAAGTAAAAATTATTATTAGTCCGATAATAAGTACATGCTATAAATAATTCAATCTTAAAAGACAACCAAATTATCAAAATATCTCAAAACAAAGAAATAAAGTACATGAAAATATTAATAGGTATAGGGAGGATATATTAGGCTAGGTTGGGGAAGGTCTCTTCGAAAGACGAGGGAAGCCTACAAGGAGAGCCAACCAAGCTCCTTTCCTTGATACCAGAATGAGGAGAAGAAGCCTTCTTTCGAATAACAAAGGTTCGAGGATATCAGTGATGGGAAATGCTCAGGATTCAGTGATCCCTATCGTGAGGAGGACCTCCTATTTATGCAGAAGGTCTCGAGATCCTAAAAGGTAGGAGATGAGGATCTTCGTTTCGAATCGAGAAAGGGAATATATTGTTCATTGACAATTATTGGGTACGCTACTGGGCGTCGCCACGTGTTTCATGAAGATACTCTGAAGGATCAGCTTTCCTTATTCCCGAGATCTCTC